TAGACTTTAAACTTCATAGTATTTTCCTAGTTTGACATACTTATGTTTAGGAAATACAAACAGGACAATCTTATTTTGAAACATTCTCATACCCTCAATGCTTACCTTGGAAATACAATTTTCTTATCTTATCTATTTAAATTTAAACTAATTTATCGGAGTTGTATTTGTTTAAATTTAAATAAAAGTATCCGAATTGGATCTTGTGAAATATGATCAACTTCTTATTGCAAACGGGTGTAATGCCGCTAGATGCATCAACACATAAAATAGAAGTTGAAATTTCCGATCACATAATGAAAACTCTGAATTGAGATTGTTGAAACAATTTTTAGTTGTCACTATTACTTTACTAGTGGGAGCCTTTGCGGCACATGATTGTTATTACTATTTAGACCATTAATCTCATAATCAATTACTACCTCTGTCGATCTGTCCCCTAAGATCGGGACAAAGGAGAGTGCTGCATTTTTTAAGAAAAGTAAAGTTATGTGGTTGATAATGAATTGATAAAATGGAAATAAAGTAAGAAAGAATTAGAGCCACAAAAATATTACCAAATATGATATGAGACAAATTTAGTGGGACAATTATACCGGGAGGGAGGGAGTATCAATTCGAAGTTTTGTAAAATATTTTGTTATTTTTTTCATTTGATTAAATAGAGTATTTTTTTTTTTTTGCTAAACATGTAAGAGCTTCCAGGAAATTATCCGTATTAGAAACCTTGATACTTGCACTCAACCCAACATAAAAGACACACAATCTTTTATATAATACTTATATGATGTTTTAATATACACAGGAAGTATGATATTAGGATGTTTTTTTTAGTAAGACATGTTTCATTCTTAGATGAGATCGAACTTATATAATAGTAAAATGAAATTCATCCAAAGAATACGCCTTTCTAATGATCTAATTTAATTGCTGTAATGAGCTAATGTATACATTTAGAAATAAGAATTGGGTGGTGCCACTTTGGAAAAAGGATGTAATAATGTAAATGTGTAATTGACCAAGGGATGGGTACAGGAGAGTTTATACAACGCTTTTAGGATAAATGATGTGATAAGTTTTTCTAATCTTAGCTGAATTAGGATGATATAATTTGTTTGTTTATTACTTGTGCAATTAAAATTCGTATAAACCGCAAAACTGATATAAAAAGTAAATAGGGAGTTGCTGGGCATTCTCAACCATTGCTGCAGTGGAAGGCATAAACCAGATTGCAACTGGTGAGTTGATCTCACTATCTGAACAGGAGCTTGTGGATTGCGATACTTCATACAACGAAGGGTGCAACGGTGGTCTAATGGACTACGCCTTCGAGTTCATTATTAAGAACGGTGGCATTGACACCGAGGCTGATTACCCCTACACTGGTTATGACGGAAGATGTGATCAAGCAAGGGTCAGTAATCACACTCACACCTTGCACTGACGGTCAATTAGCTATTGTAAATAAAAAAACAATATCCTCTTAAGAAGTGGTCATTTTTTTTAGCAGAAAAACGCAAAGGTGGTTACTATTGATGGGTATGTGGATGTTCCTGCTAACAGTGAGAAGGCACTACAGGAGGCGGTGGCGGGCCAGCCAGTTAGTATTGCCATTGAAGCCGGTGGCCGTGACTTCCAACTCTATGTATCGGTAATGTTGCACTCTTTAATAGTACCAAAAACTGCTATCTTGTATAATAGGCCACAAGAGACTTTCTACTTGTGAATTAATGGAGTTAAATCAGAATGTAACTCAATCATACCATCATTAAGACACTTACGCTACGGCTAAGATTATTTTACACAAGTGAGGCTGCTTGTTGAGCACATATACAAGTTTACAACAATAAATATTGATTCATTTTCACTAATACTTGTCTTTTCTAAGCGATGTTTGTACTTCAGTTTGTAACGCCAGTTGATTCTAAATTCAATTTGTAGGGTATATTCACTGGATCATGTGGAGTGGATGTTGATCACGGTGTGGCAGCAGTTGGATACGGGCAGGAAAATGGCGTCGACTACTGGATAGTGAAGAACTCATGGGGTGCATACTGGGGTGAAGAGGGGTACTTGAGAATGCAACGGAATGTGAAGGACCCTCAAGGTTTGTGTGGTATCGCGATTGAGCCTTCCTACCCTACAAAGAATGGCACAAATCCGCCGAAGCCTGGTCCCACCCCTCCATCCCCTCCATCCCCCGTTGCACCATCTAACATATGTGATGAATACGACGAGTGCCCATCTGGCACAACTTGCTGCTGCGTCTTCCCGTTTGCGAACTACTGCTTTGCGTGGGGTTGCTGCCCCCTAGAAAGTGCTGTTTGCTGCGATGACCACTACAGTTGCTGCCCTCATGACTACCCCGTTTGCAATGTTAGACAAGGCACCTGCTCTATTGTAAGTGTACCTTGCACCCAATGAGTAGTTTATTATCTTCTTGTTAGAGTCACACATGGGAGATTATGGGGGTAGTCCTTCACCTCTTAAGGCGCCTTTTACTATGAGTGTGTTGTGGCTGCCCATAGGTGTTAGTTCCTACAAACATTACTCCCCGCACGTGATATAGGCATGCTAACCGATCCCTTAGCATGCTTTGTATATCTTAAGTTAAATATGGATAAAAAGTAGGTATGGATATGATTTTGTTCTAGACCGGCCGATTCTAGGTTACATAAATGGAGGAACTGAAACGGTATATACCTTCTTGGTTTTGCTTCCTGATTGATTTAATGCCAAATAGTTTTGAGTCTCATAAATGAATTAATTGTATCGTTAATCGGGTATACCTTTTTAAGCAATCTCATACCGCTCAAGTATAAAAACAAAACAGCACCCTCCCTCTAGGTTTATCTTTTAGGACGAAACCAAGTCTTAATAAATCAAACCTGTCGTGTCTTAGAATAAAAAACATGGTTGAAGCTGCTAGGAGGGATTGGTACTTGTTTAGACTGTTGTTCGGGAGCTGGACAAAAAATCAGCCGGTTCTCTTGTGGTTCAGTCCCTAATTGGGGATTGGACTGTGCATAAAGGCAACCATCCCATACACTGAGGCTCGTATATGGGCATGAGTTAGCCTGATACTAATCTTACATTGTCATTTGCTTATATTTTAAAATGCAATATTATGTTGATATAGAGAAAGGATAACCCGTTTGGAGTGAAGGCGATGAGACGCACCCCCGCCAAGCGGATTAGAAGCAAGGGAAGGCAAACGATCATTTCTTGAAAACACTCGGATTTTCAACAGTGGAATGAAGGCGGGTTCGAAGTATTCCCTTGTTGGTGTACTGAGAATGCCACACATCATTCCACAAATTTATGAGCCCCTCGGCCTGACTCAAGGGGCTCCATTGATGCTGACCATCATTGTATATATACTGTTGTTATTTGTCCATGGCATTGCATTTGAAAAGGAAAAAAACATGTAGCAGGCATATTAGTGTTTAGCAATTGTCTGATTATGTTTTATGATGGGCACTGCTGCTTTGTTTGTTATTACTTCTATTCCATTTCCTGGAATCCGGATGCTTACTTGTATACTTGTACTTTCTCTGTACTAATAATAATTTCATGTACTTTACAAATATCATTAGCGTTACATTTTACTCCTCTCTAACTTAAAGATCTTCTTACTTTCCTTTTTCGTCCGTGACAAAAAGATCTTTCTATTTCTAGTTCTTCCATCATATCCTCAATAATTCCGAAAATAATACACTATTACAATTATTTTTTTGGGATTTATCCTACATTCCATAACATTATTACATTGTCTTCTCATTATACTTTCAATAATTCATATTCTTTTTCACTATTCTTAATCCATGTACTTTTGAAATGGGAAGATCTTTAAGTTACGGAGGGATTAGTTGTTTAGCCTTTCGGGACGTTTAGTAAGATGTGAAATAATTACTTTGCATGCGATTATGCGAAGTGTAAGGACACAAAATGTTTATACTGTTTGACTTGATTATTTAATGTAAATTGTAGGAACACTTTTTAAAAACATTTCGTATCGTACCATGTAAATTACTTTATGTGGGGGAGGTGATAAAATACTTTGCATGTTTTTTATAAAACCACTGTAGCACTTTTGCGTACAAACTAAAAACAAATTAAATACAAACACATTGTTTCCCTATTTTTTGCATGCAATCATTTGGCGTGTAAAGATTTAAAATGAAACTAACAAATGGTCCCTTCGTGTGCCAGGATGACAGGTTCCCAAAACGAGGTAGATGTTTGTGTAAATAAATGATCTTTTGTACTCCATCTATCTCAAATTGACTTGCAAAGTCAATATTTTTTTAGTTAACTAATGTTAAAGTTAAATCCTCCATATTGATAATTAATTCAATTTTTAATAATTAAAATTTACATATTTAGAAAACACATTCAATTTTCTTCCAAATTGTAAACTCCAAATTAAAATATAATTAAAAATTGACACCATAATTAACTTAATAAAATGAAATTATTTGAAAAAAAATCAATTTTACAACTCAATATGGGACGGAGGTAGTACTCCTTCTGTCCCACAAAACTTGATCAAAGTTGACTTGCACATAGATTAATAAAATAAAAACTATTTGGTTGAAATTTATGCAGAGAAAAGAGAAATAATTTTAGCAACATACTCCTTACTTTAAATGAAAATGACAATGTTTTTTCAACGATCAAAAAATAAATTTGATCAAGTTTTACGGGAAGGAGGGAGTATGTGAAAGGTGAAATTAAAAGAATATTGATATTCTACTCTTAGTTCTCGGGTCTTGTAAGGAAATAAATGATTCCACGAGAATTCTTAAAAGAAAATTTCTATATGACACTTTTTTTTGGAAGAATTCAGCTTAGATCGATAACAGATAATTCAGAGTATGGGTCAAATGAAAAAAATAAATTTGACAACCATTATCCCATGAACCAGACTCAGAATTAATCACCGTCACAATACAATTCGTTGATCCATAAATGGGAAAACAAAAGCCAAAAATGGTCACCATATTCCTCTCATCCCCCATATCCAAAATCAACGTCTTACAAACTGGAAAATAAACGAAAACACAAATACCAAAACAGAAATAACAATTACTGAAATAGCTAATAAAACAAAATAAAAAACACTTCCGCCGCAGCCAGAAAACTCGAACCATCCCTCCGACATGCGGCCTCCAAACTTCAGTCATCAGCTTCGGCGGGCTTAAGGAGCAAAGCCCGCCTCCTCCCCGTTTTTTGCCCCATCCAGAGCCATGGTGTCCTCCACTTGCTCCTCTGTCTGAGTCTCCCAAATCTTCCTGCTCTTAGATACCTCTTCATTTTGCCCCTCCCCTCCTTTTGTAAAACTGTGGGCTGATTCATTCATTGGCACTTTCTCCTTCTCAACTATTTTTCCTTCTGATTTAGTTGCTCCTGTATCTCCACCCATTCTGCCAGAGCTCGATGAACCATCCAAGAGCCATTTATGACCTCCTGTTGGGCTAGTCTTCACTCCGCTACCTGCTCTAAGATGGATTCCAAATCTTTTTTCTAAAATTAAGCCTTCCTCATAATTTGAGGGACAAAAATTATCTGAATGTCCAATCAAGCCACAGATAAAGCAAAAGTTGGGTAATCTTTCATATTTAAAGTCTACCCAAAAACTTTTACCATCTTTTTTCAGATTTGTCGCCTTCTTCAGAGATTTATCCATCTTCATAAGAACCCTAACCCTCATAATGGTTCTAATTTGTCACTCTTCTGGTTATCATCATATTTAATAAATTCTCCTATGAAATTTCTCACACGTCTGGTAGTGCCGAGATTAACTAGACTATAGGGAACATTATGAATTTCAACCCAAAACTCAGTCTCGTTTAAGATAATTTTGTGTGGAATATCATCAGGCATAACTTCTTTTAACATTAACAGGCTACGTTCACACTGCCAAGGGCCTCCTTCAAGCACACACTTCATATCAAAACGATGGTTAAACGAAAACAAGTACCTTTTTCACCAATTTCTTTCACCGGCATTCCTTTTCCCGGCCTCCAAAGTGTAAGCATCGTCTCTTTGAGATCCGGAAATTTGACCTTTCGGTCTGTCAGCACCTGGCCGATCACTGGAAAACCCGTCGCCGCCACCTCCGCCGAACATCCTTCAACCTCACCTTCATCGAGATTTAACTCTTCCTCATCATCACCGATCGCCATCTGCATGTAACGATCAACAAAACTTTCCATATGCCTCCTTTATTCCTCCGCTGATGTCACTGCTACTGAGAACCGCTGAGGAAGGATCACCGTATCGGCAACCTGGCTATCAGAACTTCCTGCTCCTGGTTTTGACGTACCTTCCCACACTTCCGCAAAGCCCGACTAATAAACCGAGGCTACCGCCTTCTCCACCAATCCAAATCACTTATTGACCAGACCTCCAACAACACCGCCCGAGACAACCAATCAACTCGCCCTTCGATAAGCTCGAAGGAGGAGAAACCAAAGCTAAGGGTTATCGGCCGATGACACTTGGAACACTCTCATGTGTATAGAGACATTTTATTTACAAAAAACAGCAATTGTGTGTGTACAGGCGAATACAAAATGTACACAAAATGTGTACACAAGAAGCTCCTTTAGAAAAAGTAACAATTATCTGTGTACACATGAGAATGTGTCAAGTGTGTACAAATTTTATGAACAAGTTTTGTGTACATCAAGAATGATTGTTCTTAAAACTACACAAGCATATCTAAACGAGAATATACACATAAAATTTATTAAACAAAAATAATACTTCATTCGTCCTTAAAACTTTTTCATCTTTCATTTTTGGAGCGTTCTAAAAAACTTTGTCACTTTTTCTTTTAATTAATTACTTTGTGGTGGTTTTGTTGTTTCTCTTTCCTCTGCACAAACTCAATCACACAATTTATACTTTATTATTCTACGTGATGGTCAAACTTGACAAAGTTTTAAGGAAGTATAAAAAAATTGCCGATTAAGGGTGTTTTCTTTTGGACTGAAATTTGCTGGTCTGGTCTGGTTTGATCTGGTCTGATAAACGTCTAGTCTCTGTCTATTTATAACTACGGAAGTCTGATCTGATCTAATTTAGTCTGATCTAGTCTGAGACTGAATACAGTCCAAAAGAAAACATTCGGACTTATCAACGAATAATAAGTAGGTTTGACCGTTTGAGTGTTAGATAGCCTTTTTTTTAATATGTGTTAGATAGCCTTATTAGTTGGCACAATCAAAACTTTGATTTGTCTACATATCTACATTAATGTGACACATATCTAATAAATGCGCTTCTGATTGCAACTTTTGCCCTGTGACTTTTCGAGGCATCCTTATCCTGTGAAGAGTGTTCACATTTTACCTTTTAACATTGAGTGCAAATGATTATTAAAAACTACTCCCTATTAAATGTCTCGTTTTAACATATTAGAATGTCCCTATTTAAATATCTCATACCTTATTTGTTAAAGTTTGTGGGGTCAAAATCATTTTTACTTTATTATTACGTTATTCTTACTTTATCAATTAATATCAACCACGCAAACTCACTTTTCTTAAAACTTGTGTCACCCTCCTCCGGGACATTTAAAAGGGGACGGAGGTAGTATATTTTGGATGAATGCGGATTAAATATTTTACGGAAAAAATAATGCGGATTAAACATTTTACGGTTTGGATCTATATTTTGTGTTGATATTTTTTGAATGATTTTGGAATTTTTTAAAAAATATTCCTTTCATCTTAAATTTTTTCCCCATATTTTGTTATCCAAAATTGAGATTCCTTTTAAGTAATAATAATTGTGTGCTTTATATTATTTTTCCCAATTTGACAACCCATTGGAGAACCAAAAGTTTGATGCTCGCAAGTCGTAACAGTCTCTTTTTGGAAAGAAAAATTATTTTTTAATGAACCGGTGAGAGTAAAGTACTACTTGAAGAAATTCAAAGAAATACAAGATATTTAGACTATACTTAATTCGTATACACAAGAGGTAACATTTGCTCCAAAAAGGTCAATTAGGGCACATAACAAGCCACTAAGATATACTACGTATATTTACCTTAACTAAGCACCGTAATGTGGATAATATGACTATCTTGTACTTAGATGTGGCAGTTGATAGCATGCCACATATATTTAAGTAATTATATTCAATACAAACCCCCCAAAATGTCATTATGAATAATAAATAAGTATAAATCTAGAAGTCAGATGTATACCATCTAGTTTAGGGATTTAGCTATAAGCCTATAAATAAATGAAAAGCTTTTAATGTCATTTTCTCTTGATTTGTAATAGTCGAAATCACCTGGTGTTAATGAAACATCATATTGCGATTCATGTTAAGCTAGACATACCTAAGAAGTTTACACAACGTGAAAAACCATCTTGCTCTTAAGATGTGCTTATATTGATATGCTCTAACAAAGTATTCCTTCTGTTTTCACTCTTATTTTCTTTTTAAAGTAATAAAGTTGTGGTTAATTTAATTCTCTCTTCACTTCACGGAGTATCCTTAGGGTTCCGGACATGGGGATTGGCTGCCGCCATGGCAGTTCTTTTCTCTTCGAAAGGAAAACCCAAGATGAATTGCCTTACTCGGCAGAACGCCGTCGAGCAATGGACTGCAGGATTCTCTCTAGGGTTCGCCGCCAGGTGCTACCGCTAGAGCCATTTATCCGCTATCGGCTTGCGCCGAGGAGCGGGGCTGATTTCGGTCATTCTTTTTGTAATCGTCCAGATCTAACGTACATGAAGGGGATGCAACAAGCAAGAGGCAGGGGTATTGGCAATCTAGCAACGGATCAGGTGTTGACAAATTTGTTTCCAGCCCTCGGCAAGGGTGATGAATAGACGGGGAGCGACGAAGTGCTGATCAAGGGAGAATACAGATCGGCGGTCCGCCCCCCTCCTGAACCGCCGCCTTGGATTGATCGAGATATCGGGATTTGGAAGATGATTTTTCTATTTTTTATTCTATTTTTTATGGTCTTATTCTCGTGTTAGGTTTGTTTACGACGTTTCGTTTTTTTTTTCAGGACTTTAGTTTTAGGTCTACAATAATGATTGTCAATTTTGCTAGATATTATGTCATTAGAAGGATCTATATGGTTAGTGGTTACTGTGTAACACCCGCTTGGTGGTTAGCGATTCGTTATTGCTCTTTCAGGGGTGATGTCTCAGAGTCTAGCTGTAGGTTGTTTGTGATTGTTGGTTATGGATAGTTTTTGTCAAGGTTGATCTGTTTGAGTTTGTTGTAATGAACCGCCCATAATGGTTTTAATATATTTGTTGGATTTGATGATAAAAAAAATTAATTCTCACTTCTTTGCACAAAAATCAACTATAGTGTTATTACTTTTCTCGTTTCACATCCAAGACGAAGTTTGTAATGTCTAATGGAACGAAGGTACTACCAAATATGACAACTTCTCATTTGAGGATGAAACTCAAAACTTAAATTTAGCAACAATTACTTCACTAATAATAATAATAATAATATCAAGGGTTTTAAAAATAATAATAAAATAAAGTTTATTTACACAAATATTACTAATATAGTTACTACAATGTGGTGTCATAGTTGCTATGATATGATTATTATTATTATAATTATTGTTTTTGTTGTTATTTAAGTGATTGATGACATTAAAGTCGGTGTGCGCCTCAAAATAAATTCACTACTAAGTTCTTATTCACAGGAAAAAGTTTTTTTTTGCATATGTAAGCATAAGAAACCAAATAAAATACTAAGATGAATACATTAAAATTTCAAAGGTAATTAGCCTTGGTTTTGCTAATTTCCACTTAATGAGCTACTTTAATTATCCCTCTTGAATACTTAATTATGGAGATAGAAACTCCAATTCACTTAGAATAGCTATTAATAACAAGACACATTCCTTAATATCTTTTACTATTGGTCAATACTCAATACAAAACAAGCGTCGTATATTAATCTTAATAGTACCATTCAGTCGATTTAATGTAATCAATTAAGAATGATACTTTGTAATCCGAGGTGAATATTCTTAGCTGACATAACGAGAATCTCAGATCCAACTATTATATCTAATTTATCAATTTATTCTATAATGAAATCAATTAAGATTGATAACCTCAACATAAACAGTTTTTCGGTTCAACCAATGTAATTACTCTCTCTTAGATCATTAAATATATATGAGTCGCATGTAATCTAAGGATACTACTTATGAAAGCACCAAGTGAATATCAAGTGTATCCAATGACCGATTCTAGTAATAATCAAAATGAAAACATCAACTAATTGATCATTTGGTGATAGTCAAATATCATTATGAAATATGAATATGGAAGTAATTAGTATTTAGGTGAGGATTAAAGCAATAACACACAACTTACAAATTATAAGTTTCAATATTGAAAAATCAAGCTCAAAAGACTACCTAAATTACAAGAATATAGTCTATATAAAGAGGGGATTGATGTCTATCTCAAATGGGAAGAAAATGAATGTGTTTATAGGATAAATGAGGTGGTTAGGTCATATACCCGATCGGGTATCTTGGATACCCAAATGGTTATTCTTGGCAGTAGTTACGAAAGTGCTGAAATCTAATCATATCTGACTGAGTATGTCAATATACCCGATTGAGCATAAGGCCAAATATGACTTTCTCATGTTTTCTTGATTTATTTGATCTCATACTCCCTCCGTCCCTAATAACTTTGCCAAGTTTGACTGGCACGGGGATTAATAAAGTAAAAACTATGTGGTTGAGGTTTGTGCAGAGGAGAGAGAATTAACTGGAACCACAAATTCTTTACTTAAAAGGGAAAGTGGCAAAGTTAGTGGGACATCCAAAAAAGGAAAGTTGGCAAAGTTATAAGGGACGGAGGGAGTATGATCTTTGTGTCAAATCATATCCGATCAAGTATTGGATCTACTCTTGACTTCAATCTCCTTCCTTATGCTCCCAAAATCCTTCCTCTTGTTTTTCCATCATGTCTTCAAAATATCTTAATATATTCTATTTATAGTCTTATTTAGAAAATAAAGATTACTGTAGCTGAGTAAAACAAAATGTAAAACTATTCTAAATGTGATTATACCAATATGAAGTCTTAATATCAGTATCGAGTTTTCCACCATTCGTAAATTTATACATATTTCCTTAATTTATTTTATACTCTTAAATAGCGTGTACGACAAAAATACGACTCTAAAATATAAAATTAATAGAATTAATTTTTATAATTTTGTATATGCAATATTCATGTCATATGAAAGATAATACGGAGTAAAAGTTATGAATTTTTATACTCTTATATTTTCTGGAATAACATGAGTAGTACAAAATAGAAGTAATATTCAGTGTAACACTTTAAAAAAACAGAAGTTATTAAGAGTGCTGAATTATTATCTAAATTAATAGCACTTTACAAAACATAAGTTTTCTAAAGTGCTAAATTATTTTTTTATTCTATATATGTAATATTAGTGTCTATATATGTAATATTAGTGTCATAAGTTTTCTAAAGTGCTATATTTTTTTATTCTCGTTCTCCGATTAACAAAATTTTGTTCAATCGAAAGTAGTGATGGTTGATGCGATGAAGGAACTCTCTGCATCTCTAGGATATTAGTGCCGAATGCCGATGAGAATATGTCTAAAAGTGAAATTATAAAACCTAATTGAAATTTGGAAAGTTTAAAAGTGAAAAGAGAAAGTAGGGGAGACATGAATGATATGTGGTGGTCCTGGTGGATAAAAGTAGTCTATTCGGGTAATTATCACTTGATATGTCATGGTCACAGTCAATAGTACCATCAAGTCCAAAAATAAAAAAATATACGTATTTCGCAATTACCCAAAACCAAAACTAAAAAACTTGATCCCCAAAAATAAAAGATAGAGAAATTAAACTTTAAACCCTAATTTTGTAGTTAACTTAATTTCTAGCACTACTTTTGGTCATGAGGACGATATGCCTAAGTCATAGTTGTACGGGTGTCGAATCTTCTTCGCGTCCATAAGCCCATTCATCCATTAGTTGCATCAATATATATACACACTCCATGTTTTCTTAAATATGGTTTTGTATTTCTTATTATGTGCCTAATTTGGGAGGCTTAATAAAGTCAAGATTTACACGTGCAGTGCAACAATTAAGAATTTCTCATTCTGGATTTCGAATATTTAATTTATAAATAATCCTATATATAGCTGAATCACTTCTATTCATTCATATGCTGCAAAATATACAAATTAATTAAGCTGGTGAAGGCTTAAATTGGACATGGGCATTGCTCCTCTTACACCAATCTCAGCAAAACAAACCTCCACCACGGGTATGCGTTTCAGCTTCAATTCATATTGTGGAGTAGTTCATACAATGGACCTCTTTTGTCACAAACATAGATAGGGGTGTGCCCAGGTTTTTGCATTATTTATTATGCTCTTAATTGATTGACTGGGTAAACTTGAATATAATTATAGTCATTAAAAGTTACAAAGTTACATTTTTGTGCATCATTTTTTCAATAGTAATATAAGTGGAATTGTTTCTATACTTATACTGCATAGTATTTTGTACAATGTTCAGATTAAAGTTAGTAGATGACACGACGTTTTTATGTGTAACTGTTATAATGTTTTCATGATTTAGGATAATTTTAACTCGACTGATTTTTTTGGTCTGATATGGTCTATTTAGTTTTGGTCTGGACTGAACTGGTCTCGTGTGACAGATGTCTGGTCTATGTGTATTTTACAATTATCGAAATTCGATTTGGTCTGTTTAAGTCTTGTATGGTCTGATCTGATATGTTAAATTATAATCTTATTTAGGACTGAACTTATTGCATTTAATTATGTATTTTTCAAATTCTATAGCTAATCCCTAATATGTTCTTTAGGTTTTGAGATTTTATATGTAGATAAATTGAGACATGTTTAGAATATAATGCCATAGTAATGATGTTTGGTGTTTCTGGATGTTTTTTATTGGACGGCCGGTTTCACTCCCGGTCCAAATTAGGTAGACTATAAAATCAAATCAAATCTGAAAAACAACCATATCATATCAGTTTAGATCAGTTCAAATCAGACTTTGAGAGTTGTAATATACATATAAAACATACATATACCCGACCAAATCATTTCAAATAGACTGAACCAACTAGATTAAGCAGGCAAATTTTGTCCAATTAAAAATCTTGTGTGTCAATAATTGGAAAATATGAGTCTTGTGTGTCAATAATTTTTAATGATCATTTTTAAAGGGTTATTTATCAAGCTCCGAAAAAGTTATGTGGAATCATATACTTCAGTCCCAATGTCCCAATGGAAGGTTTAGACACTACTTTGGAAGTCTATTTAACTCTCTTTTAAATATGATTATATAAATATAATAAATGTTATGATATCGTAGTTGGTTTCTTGCGATTTAACAAAGCTTTAAACGCAATTTCTAAATACGTAGATTATATTTACTTTTATCTCATAACTAGTTATGTTACGCGCGATGCGCGAAAGTGAAATGCCCAATGTAAACTCTGTACAATAGTGTCATATCCCGGCTCGTAGTACGTTATTCGGATTTTATTATGGGAAAAAAAGATGACACCCCATCCCTGAGGGCCCCCCAACACCGACCGGACGGCACGATGAGAGGATGTAAATTGAACTATAATCACAATCTGACAGATAGAAAGTGGGGCTCCGTCCCCGGTACTTGCAGAGGCCCGCTATCGAGTAACCTCTCATCACAGTTGCCGGGAGTCGAACCCGGGACCTAACTCTTGTGGCACTCCCTCGCTACCAGTTGAGCTACACCCACCGGTTCGGATTATAGTTCAATACTTCAAAAAACATGTGGAGTCTATGATTGTTAGAAGGCATTTCTAAGTAAGTGAATTATAGGTGCATCATAGTTCTAAGTGCACACCCAATTCTTCTCAAACAGGCGGTTATAACTTTCTATATTACAGCACTTACATTAATGTCTTTCCAACATGTTATAACACTAGGTTTCGGTCGCGCAAGGTGCGAAAACTTTTTCCCAATATTAAAGTAATGTTTTTTATAAATAACTACGGAGTATTATATACGGAGTATGATATTGTAACCACACAACCATTATTCAAATTATTATATCTAGGTGTTTAATACGTAGTATATTTTAAAGCATGTTTACACCTAAAATTTCAAGAATTAAAATTTATTTTCATACACCAAAAAGAACTTAAGAATTAAGATGTTCTCAATTAAACTATAATTTTCTAGTCTACTTAAGAATTGGTCTATTGAAGTCAATCTGGTCTATTCAAGTCTATCCTAATGTATTAATCCAAGTAAAAACATCTTTAGGATGGCTATATGGGCATATGTGTTTAATTTAGATAATGTTCAATTTAAGTTTAGCAAGTCCTACTATGATGAGTTTATTAATGTCCAGGTAAATCTAAAGAGGACACAGAATATAGTCTCAAGCCTCAAGCACCCCTTTATGTAAGGCCAAATTCAACATTGTCCAATGTCTTACCCTACAATGGTGGCCATCCACTCTCTCCTAAAGTTTCCAACCACCATATCACTGCCAATCATATGCCGCCTCCAAACATCACCGAAAGACCTCAGCCACCTCCATTTCCACCTGCAACCCTCTCTCCTCATAACAATCATACTATTTCAATTTGTAATCAAACTTCACCAGTGTCTTCTTCTTTTCACTCGGAACCATACATGAACACTTGCTATCCTATATACCCATATGTGTCAATACCAACCACTGTCTACCCTCCTCCATAGCCAGACACCTCTCTTCCTCTAGTCACCCCTGATGGCGGTTATCAGCACCCACCGCTATGTTTTCCTCACGCCACCGGCGTCTACCCTCCAGGTTTGTTGCATTGCTTTTTTATGAATCTAAATTTGTACTCTAGAGAAAGGAGATAATCATAGGATGTATTCACAAAAAAGTTTGATAAAACAAGTATATAGATAAGGAGGACATGACATCTCATATTAATAGTATCTAACACTCTACCTACCTAACAGCCATCCACATATTCTTAGCTTCCTGCTCCTATAACGTAACCTCTCATTTTAATATATGTGTGGGTGTATAATTGTGCGGATCATGTTAAAATAAGCTAACTCTATGTGAGTTAGGTATTGTATACAATGAGTTGTCATATCCTCCCTTGCTAGTATGCCAAATATACTTTTCTAATATAGTAATATGTACATTGTCACTTCCATATTCATTCCATGTGGAGATATCCTTTGCGAGAGTTCCCCCACTAAATAAGCATCATTATCTTTATGAGAATTCCTCCTTTGTGAAGGTACAAAGGGTATAGTGTAGGAGGCTAGATGGAGCCTTTGATATAATTAAAGGTGACAACTCTGGTACCCATTTAAAAAATGGGGTACCGTACCTATCATTCAAATAATTGGTCCAAATCACAATATCATTTTTAATTTACATTTAAATAATTCAACTGCATCATTCTGATTGGTCCATGTGGACAAAGGTATGGTACCTTAAAGGTACCATAGATTCTACCTTATTTAGTGCAAGACTGAGATGGAACCCTTTAAGGCTATTTGAGCCAAATTTCAACAATGTATATTCCCAATAGTGGTATTGATAGAGCTAACATATATCAACATAATGATTCATTAAATCTGTAAACTTTGTGACCATTGTGTATATATCTCAAAGATCTAGGATTGGAATTCCCCATGAATTTATTCGATCATGATACCAATTATTAATATGAACTAAACTTTGGTGGCAATATTGGTGAAACACGTGGGGAATTCCACCAAGTTTTATCGGGAAGTGGAACATCATGGAAAAGTCAAGAGTCGGTATTTCACAACTACATAATGGTTTTTTTAACAATAAAAGGGAATGTTTTATTGAAGGATAAAGAAAAGTACAAAAGAGATGAAAATATAGACAAGAAACATAAAAACTTTGATGGAAAATAAAAGAAGAAACATATATTCTAAGTCCTAACTAAAAATAAACCCTGGTAAAAAAAACTAAAAATAAACCCGAAGTGCAATTGAAGAGAACCTCCCTACAACCTGTAACTCAGCCAAAACTTCCAAAATCCATATGTGATTGAGACCTGATCCTCATAAGATGTGGCCCTTGATGTTTTTTTCCTAAACATTTTAATTTGAGTGTTTAAGTTTTTTGTGGATAAACAATTTTACCACGTAATCAGCATAACTTTATTACAAATATCTTGATTCCTATCGGAGTCCCACAAATCCTCCATTGTTAAACTAGGAGTCCTTTCCCCCTCCGATGCATGACCCAAAAATTCATCCCCGAGTAAGGAGTGATCGGCTCAATGAGGACATCCCCAAAAGGTACTGAGTGTTGATTACTCGTGAATCCATCTTTGGAGAAATTGACATTTGGATTTGCACAGTAGTTTACTTTTTCTTCTTCCCCCGGATTCTCAACCATAAAATTCACCCCCTTAGTTTCCTATGCACATTGGCAGTTTGTTCATAAGCTCGTACTACAAACACGCAAGTAGCGGATGTACAAAAAAAGTGTACAACTTTTGTGTACACCTAGTCTTTTTTTTTTAATCTTCGAAGGGGGTGTACCTAGTTTTATAATACTCCGTACAAGTAAACAAAAATTCCACGCTAACCTAAGGACTAGCTACTGGCCGGCGGCAGTAGGCGCTACAACACATAACAAAATCTGAACTTTTCATATTTAAGAAAAAAAACTACCAGGCTAATGCCGAGTTGAGTCAGTCGACACAAACAAAACTAGAAGAAGAAGGGCTGGGAAGAAGAAGGACTGGCTGCATGGCTGGGTTGTTGAATGCACCTCGCCGAATCGCATTTGCGGCAGCCAAACAGCCCTTGCTGTTCGCTTTTCTTCATCGCCCTCGCTTCCTAGAATTGACCTCGACAACTTGCCAAGTTGCGGCTCCCAAACCCTAATGTTTTCAGATTGAGTCATTTCCTCACTTGTTGGTTACCCCTCCTAACAAACTTTCAGCCTTTAGTTTTGATGAAGGCAAAAAACAATTAGTCTACAACACCGTTATTGTTGTTGTATCACTTAACCAAATGTAGTCGTTTCAATTAAGTGTTTTAAAAACAAAGTTCAACATCTTCATCACGAACAGAGCAGCAGCTAGGTCACAGCTATGGAAAAGTGGAGGCAAGGTAGAGGAGGACAAGGGGCGACATAACCATTTCCCTGATCCATAAAACTACCTAACCATTTCCAGTGAAGGGGGCGCCGTAGCCAGCTCCCCCAGTCCCTCCTAGGCATGGACTGGTACCGGGCCGGGCCGGTCCAAATCGGGCTTTTTGTTTGTGGGTTAAGGCCCGGAACCGGCCCAAGATTCTACGGGGACCGGGCCGCCGGGCCGGTGCCAGGTCAGGTTCTATTTTTTTAGCTTTTCTAATTAATTCCAACCCCCCAACCCCCAAACACCCAGCCCAACCCGCCTACCACCAAAACAATTCGGAAAAAAATTGGGCCTGGACTGGGCCCGGTGCCATGGGGCAGCCCAGAACCGCCCCCAAAAATCCCCCAGACCGGTCCTAGGCCCGGAACCGTCCCGGTCAACCGGGTCAGTCCGGTCCCGCACAGCGGCGGTCCGGGCCGGTTCCCGAGCCGGTCAAACCAGAACCGGGCCACCCCTAGTCCCCCCCGCCCCTTATGTATGAGCAAAACTAAAACTTTCCAAAAAAAATAAATTCACTTCCTTTATAGGAGTTTTATATACTCTAAGAACTTTAAAAGAGAGTACTGTAGGAGAACTTAAATTTAAGGAAAGTGACCAGATAAAAGATTCTAAAATTCAATTCCATCAGAAATTTATTGCCTCCTATCTAAGCCGATTACTGTTATATGTGTGTATTCCCTAAACTAGGCTAATTCTTTTTTAAAACTAAGCTAATTGTTTTTTTGAAACTAAGCTAATATTGTTTGATAGCATCACATCTCTTCCAACAGTTTTTCCAGATGGAAGCCCTTGGTATCCGCCACCGCAGCAGCTCACAGAGGAACATTGTAGGCACCACTCTCCTCCATCCTTAATGGCGATGGAGTGTCCACCATCACCACCGCCTCACAATGTTTATCCACCTCCCCCTGCTATCTAAGGCAACCATCTTAATTGGATTCAAATATGCTTGCTAAGCACAGCCATATGTAAAGGACATTGAGATCCTAACAAGTACTCTTGATATAGATCTTAAAAAAACAAACCGTTATCAGATTAAATATTTGTGATTTCTTTCCCACTGTGTACCATCACACCTTTCATCTTTGTTGACAGGCTATTGATTGAAATTTTAAGAGAGCAACAATTTGGTAGCAATGGTGCCTTGAATATTACAATTCAAATGTAATCAAGAAAAAGTTGTGTTGTATTAAGATATAGGCATAGATACAAGGTTAATATGATGGCAGTAGTTGTATATAACCTTATATGTTAGCTTGATAGTGCAAAAATTGTACTTTTACTATTAAATTTAACTTTTAAACTGAGTCGGTTGATTTGTTTGCTGAGTCACCATACTCGAAAAGAGAGAAAATGAGAGCCAGCAGTCCAGCACTATGTTGAATGTTAATGAACAAAGCTATATGTGATGATGAAAAAAAAATGTTCATCCAAACTTAATTAACATACCAAGCACTCCAAGCAAACTGAAAACTTGACAAACAAGACAGACAAAAAAAGGTTCCCTGTGAACAAATCTGATCCTTTAATCGGACATCATCATATGGACCCATAGCCTCAGTAATCTCACCCTGGAACAGGAGGGCTGGATTGTCCTATCAAACAAAAAATAAGTATACATAAGCAGCTTACCAGACTTTATCATTCACCTCAATCAGTTTCTTCTTTCCCTTAGTTATTATTCCTTGAACTACCACCAAAACTTAACCAACTCCTGAATGTACAAGAACCGAAATTCCTCCATGTTAGCATTCCTAGTCTTTCCCTCAAGGAATTCGAACTCCTGGTAATGCTTGGGCCACCCCCACCATGGGCTTGTCTGTTTTCTTGACTAGCTTCGGACAGTCCATCATCACTAGCAGCGATTTCCTGATTCACAACCACAACAATGCTGTCTAAATTGATAGCAAGTGAACCCCGACAACCCCTCAACCAATCTGCAACTTCTGGAGTCACCAGGCTGCATTTCTTAACCTTCACCTTTACCAAATTCGGGCACCTGTAACCCAATGCCTCCATTCCCAGGTTTGATACTGGGCAACTCTTTATACAAAGTTTTTTTAATGCGATGCACTTATTTGCAATGCATGTGAGCTCTGGGTCACCCACTGTCTCACTGCCACAAAGTGCTAATCTTTCGATTTTTAGACATTTTGAAGCAAGCTTCTCTAAGCTAATAAGTGTTGGGTTAACACCAATGAGAACTAGTTCTTGTAATGAGGGGCAGTGGTCCGCCACAGCAAGCAATCCTTCATCGCTTATCCTGTTCGTTTTCCATCCATCTATATGAAGTTTCCGGAGAAGTTTACAGTGTTGGGCGACTACTTTTAACCCTAGATTAGTGCATTCTGGAGTCTTCACGAGGTGTAAAATTTCAAGATTTGAGAAATTTGAAATTGCAGTAAGACCAGCATCACTAACCTGAAGTCTCTCTACATGAAGCTCTACTATTGCCTGACTAGAAATAGATTCCAGAAGATTGTCCCAATCACCGGAGCATCTTAGGAGCTTAAGAGTCTTCAAATTCTTAGATCCTATGATCAAGGGTCCAAAACACTGCCCGTTGTAAAGCTCTTTTAGGCAAATGATTCGGAGTGATGCTGCGGCCGCTCCCGGGCCAATTGGTTTGGCCATAGCTCCATTTGCTATTCCGCGGAGTCGCTTCACTGATAATTCCTCGAGAAGGGAAAAGTTGTCGAGCAGGGCGTTCATGCCTTCAGCTCCGAAAGTGCAGGATCCGCATGAAAGCTTCTTCAGAGAGAGGCAGTTCTTTGCAAAGGCTTCTATTCCGGCGTCTGTGAGATCCCGGCAACACCGCAGCTTTAACCTAGTGAGATTAGGGCACCGGAGGGAAATAAAAACCAACGCGTCGTCACCTATACTCACAGATCTGCGGTCGCATTTCAACGCCAGCTTCGTCACCGAATCGAATCGCGAGAAAATTGAAGGAACTGCTGCGGTGAGCTCCGCTTGAGCGTGGAGCGATAGGCGGTTCCGGCTCTGTCCTTCCACTCTGAACCACCGACGGGAAACTAGTGAGCAACGCTTACGGTCTCCGGAGCTTAAAGACTGGAAAATGCAAGCTAAGCACTCATCGGGGATGTTGGATGAGTAATCGGCAAAGTCATCGGAAGTGGCTTCATCGGGTATGTCAGTGCCTTGCATCGGAATAGCCGGGGCCGTAAAGCCGGAGTTTGTTCGGTCGGTTTGATTTCGATCTCCGGCAGCTGTGGAAGCTAATTGGCCCATCCACGGCGATCATAAGAAAAAATATGGGCAGCTTATCTTTTGTGTTGTTTTACTGAACTTCCCTAATTAGCTTTGGAAGACAACAGAAAGTACACATTTTAACGGTTCAATCATTTATATGAAGGGAAGAAAGTAAAAACATAGGAAGAAGATAAGTTTAAGAAGTTACTGGTATTTTTTTGCTACCTCTCTTCTCTCCCGTCCTATCTGCCGGGCACTACAGATGCGGCAGCATCAGGCGTAGCACCGCCGTATTAGCTTCGGATAAAACAGTTCCGGGCTGTTGCCTCCGTAAATCTTGTTGGGAAAATGTGTTAAAATTGCAATGTGCAATTTTTTTAGGACGGTCCACTTCTGATTTGGGTCGGGTCAAAGTGGTTTCGGATTGTCCTTGCTTAGAGCTACAATTCGATATATGGTACGCTCAAAACGGATAACGGGTGAATGAGAAATTGATTCTCGAAATTCACTCATTGAAATGGTGAAAACTAGGGAAAATGTGGGATTCTAGTGTGGTTTTTTCCCACACCGGAAAACCCAAGGGAATTTGAACCATTTATAAAGGGAAACCCCCTCTAACGAGTTAAGCTTCCTAAAGGGAAAGGCTCTCTCACGCGTGCAGGGGGTGCGAATCAAATCTCCGAAACTGGAGAACAAAAAGCGCGACTTGCGTGCGGACACGAATGCCGTCCGAAAATCTATCATCTAAAGATAATGTTAATTTTTGTTCCTCCGGTACGTTCCTATTTTAATTTTTGCTCCATGCTGAACTGAAATGTTGCAACATTAATTGCCCAACGTCTTTGTACCTTAATGCGGCTGGTTTGGACAGCTTGCTTGGAGAATCAATGCCAATGCCAGCATGCTACCATTGAAGTCCCAACGTTCATATGCACGTTTTGGACTGTTTTTGGCTGGAATCAATGCCCAATGTTTAGGACATTGATGTCCAACGTTCACAAGCCTTAAACAGCCATTAACACACCATAATCCACACCTATAAAAGGCTGGCAGATGCTTTGCAAAAATACAAAAGTCATAGACGTGCAACACTCTTCTTTAGCTCTAAAAAATTCTTCAACCATCTTTGAAAAAATTCATATTGTGTTCTTGCGTTGTTCACGTTCGTTGGAACTTTAGTTTGAGTGCTAAACTATTGTTCGTAGTCATCGTGTCCTGGGAAACGATCGTTGCAACGCTCCTAGCACCCCGGGAGGCTACGAATACGTTTTAAGAAAATCGTGTGTGGCACGAGCTTTGGCTATTTCTGCTTCATCTATTTTCTGTTTTCGTTTAGTCATTGTATTTAATTAATTTTTTATTAATTAATTTCCTTTTTTTTCGAAACACACCCAACAAATCTCACTGTCTGTCTGCCCTGTAGCCTCGAGCAGCTCCCGGCTTTTCAAATCATAAATTGCTTTAGGAATCATAGGAAACTAGAAGTGGTAGGAACGGTTAGTAAATTAGCAAAACTCATGCGATAGTGTTTATGTGTTGCTAAAAACAAAGTTAAAGTGAACACATTGACTACTTAAAAAACTGCTTACTAATTAAACAAGTGCTAAAAATGTTGCGTACTTTACTAACCATATCTTCTATATTTATTCATTAAGTTTGAGGATTTACCCTTATCCTTACCATTTGCCCTAATCCTTACTTTACCCCTACCCTTACACCTACCCTAACCCCTACTATATTACCCCTACTCGTCCCTGTACCCCTACATGTACCTGTTTTACACATATCCCGTGTACCCCTACCCCTACCTACCCTTCCATGTACCCATTTTCATACCCGTTACCCTTACCCCTACCCCTAACACCCTGGCCTACCCTTACCCCCTACTCCAACCATACCCATCCATACTCATCCTATTACCCCTACCCGTACATGTTACCCTTAGCCCTATCTCTACCCTTAACCCCTCTTACCCCTACCCTTACTTATACTCGTCCCTGTGAAGCAACGTTTGGACGGTCTGGTTTAAAGATGTAATCGTTTGGTACCATGTCATTTTGGAACAATACAAAGCAGTGCGGTACAATGCCAAACACGTGCTAAAAATATCTACAAATCTTGCGATTAGTAACTATCATCACACCAACTCACGTTTTTGTATTTAAATTCACAAATACTCAAATAGTGCAACGCAACTAAAGAAACTATAGCAAAGTTATAATACGCTAGATAAATAACATCTTTAATTTTGAAACTCATGTGAAGATATAGAAAGAATGTAATCAAATTTTGAATATAATATGCAATAATCCTCCTCCTCTAACCAAGTATTCCAGCCCAGCTGGTTGCAAGGTTACCGTGCTTAGTGGGAGGTCTCGTGTTCGAATCCTGATAGGCACATAAGAGCTTGAAACTCAATGGAGTGAGTTTTAGCCCTGATTACTCCAGCCCCCTCCCCTAGACCCCCCTGGAGTGAAAAAAAATCCTCCTCCTCCTCTTCCCCCCCTCTCCCCCTCCCCACCCCTACCTCCCCCTCTTCCTCCTCCTCCTTCTGATTCACTAGACACGAAACGAGCAAATTTAAGCCTAAAACAATCGGAACTGAAATACTACCCATTAAAAGTTTTTCAGAAATCCAAAAATCCAAATCAAACCTACTCGAAGTAAAATAAAGATAAATACTATTAAAAGAAAAATAAAATTGAAATAAAGCTTTTCTACAAAACTCTTCCTGATATGAAGGTGATTCTAGTCGAGGACACGCTCTACCCTTTTACATGCAGTTCGAAAGAAGGCAGACAGAAACATCTGATCAGACGTAGCTGACACAGCCACCAAAACAACTCCCCATATCTAGGCAATACAATTCGGAGCGCTAGTGCCCACGAAAGAACCGTTAGTCGAATTGGAGCATACCCTTACCAAGAATATCCAAGAGTCGATATCACCTAGAACAACACATCTCAACTTCTCCCATTTGTTTTTGTTCGGCAGATGATTCTTCTTGAACCATTTCGGGTGTATTTTAATGATCACGAATACGAATATGAGGGTAA